TTATTATTTTTCTCATATATTCCATCCTAACCGAAATTTCTCCTCCTTTCTTTCCTCCCAGTCCCTCCCCAACTATCTCCCCTCTTCCCCAGACAAACTCCCCATCCATTTCCTTCCGAAAAGAGCAGGTCTCCCAGGGATATCCACCAAACATGCCCTAACAAGTTACAATAAGACTGGCCACATACCTTCATATAAAGTCTAGAAGACATCAATCCAGTAGGAGGAAAAATGTCCCAAAAGCAGGCAAAAGAGTTAGGAGTCCCATAACAACACCAAGCTACACAACCATAACATATATGCAAAGAACCCATGTCAGATCCCTGCAGGCTCTCTGATTATCCAGTCTCTTTGAACCCCTATGAGCCCTGGTTAGTTGATTCTGTGGGTCATTTTCCTATGGTGCCCTTGACCCCTCTGGTTCCTACAACTTTTCCTCACTCTCTTTTATTGGAGATCTGCCTAACATTCGGCTGTGGGTCTCTACATCTGCTGCCATCAGTTGTTGGATAAAGCCTCTTTGATGACAATTATGCTAGGCTCTGATCTAAGCATATAGCAGAATATCTTTTTGATGTTATTGAAATGACAAGTTTTCCTAATTTTTTTTCAGATAGCTCACTGTTAAAAATCTAGAAAAAAATCACTGATTTTTGCATGTGTTAATATTGTAAGACTGAAGTGATAACCCTGACGGTAAAGTATTTGCATAAGGACCTGAGTGTGCAAGCATTAAGGACCTGAGTTTGAGTCTCAGAACCCACATTTTAAAAACTCCACGTGGTGAGCCTGTCTTGGGTAACATTTTTTTTCTGCTGTATATTTTGAAATGAGGAAATCCTTCAATGTTGTTAGTTTTTAAAGATCGTTTTGACTATTCTGAGGTTTAGATTTTGTTATGAATTTTAGGATCAGCTTGTCAGTTTCTAGAAGGGAACCAGCTACGAGCTGATAGACATTATGATGATGGCTCTGTAGAGCAAGACCAGTTCTTCTGAGCCATGGATAAAGATGGCCCTCTCATTGATTTCGCTTTGTTTAGTTTTGTATATTTTTTTGTTTTTTGTTTGGGATTTGTTGTGTTTGTTTATTATTGTTTTGGTTTGGTTTTGGTTTTAATTATGTTTTTTTTTGAGACAGGGTTTCTCTGTGTAGCCCTGGTTGTTATAGAAATCACTATATAGATCAGGTGGGCCTAGAACTCAGAGTGTTGCCTGCCTTTGCCTCCTGAGTGCTGGGATTAAAGGTGTGTGCCACAATGGCCTAAGATTTTGGTATTTTAAATATCTGTAAGCAATATTTTATAACTTTCAGCAGACAAGGATTTTATTTCTTTTGCTAACTTTATTCATTTTTTTAATTTTCTTTTTATAGTCTGTAAACAATATGAACTCCTCCATAAAATTTGGTTCAGTTGTTTAGATGATAATGGTTTGTTTAGGAAGGTTTCTAATGGCTTGCTATTCATTGCAATTGGACTTTCTTAAACTGTAAATCTACTTTGAGTAAAATTTATAAAAGACAAAAAGTATAATCAGACTTTTTCTTTTGTATAATTTTTTAAACTGTTTATTGATTCTTTGTGAATTTCACATCATGCACCTCAATCTCACTCATCTCCCGGTCCTTCCATACCTAGCCTCTGCCTTTGCAACCTCCCCCACAAAAGAAAAAAATCTTATCGTGGAAGCTACAGAGTGTCACAGTACATCACCCAATATGCCCTTTTGACCAAATAACTTTACTTGCAAATGATCATTGCAATGATTCATTGGCCTGGTTTGCGGCCTCTGCCTTCTGCTACACTATCAGTACTAGATCCTCATTAGGACTCCTCTCAGATATCCTGCTGATGCCCTGTGTCATGGAGATCTTACATCTTTGGTTCTGCAGGACTGGCCCCTTCACATGCTCCAAAAGTTCTTAGATAGGTAGATAGTCGGGTGGGGCTACTCAAAGCCCTCGATCTGGGTCTGAGTGGTAGTGTATTGGTCAGTCCTGCTGCTCTCCCACTTTGCCCAGAGGAGGGTGGGTCCATCTCTCCTGCCTTTGGCATCTAGCAAGGGGCAGGACTGTCTCACCTCCCACACTGACCCCTCAGAGCAGGCTCTCCCAAGCCCACAATACCAGGGCTAGCTCTACTGTGCTGCCCTGGTGAGGCACAGGGCCGACTCTCCTGAGAACTGTAGCTGTCAAGGGACAGAGCCACCTCTCTTGCTCTCAGGGCTAGCCCTTCCACCTGCCGTAGACAGAAAATGGAGCAGGAGGTGGATGGGTAGCCCCATCTCTCCTGCTCTGTCTAGGTGAGGGCCAGGGTCAGCTCTGTGCAGACCTTGACCATCAACATGGTCCCAGGTGGCAGTCCAGATCAGGGGCATCTGCATGGCCTGTGGTGGTGACATGGGCCATGGACATCAACCTAGACCCCCACCCAGACATGGCCCTCAGTGGCAGTGTAGGCTACTCACAGAAGGTGCTCCTCACCACCTTTGCATCTCGGGTTCCACCTCTCTTCATAGTGCTCAAATTGTTCTGCTTCTCATTCTCCACCATTTCTCAACCACACACTTGCTCGTGATAGTGGTACCTGCCCCGCCTGTGCTGCACAGCTGCAGATGGGGGCTTCTTCAGTGTCTCTCATGCACGGCCCACTGCTATGCAGTCTGAACTTAAGTTGGTCTCCAGAGTTGGTCCCCACGGCAGCTTCCCTGTAAGATACCAGGGCTCTTTTTCCAGCTCCAGGTTATTGCTACTTATCATTTTGGCCTCTCTAAAGTTTGTCTTTACCAGCCGACTTCAAGCTCCATGAGAGCAGGAAACTGCATCCACCATGTTCCCCACTGCCAAGAAGAGGTCTTGGCTCAGGGTCAACCGTGATCACCTCCGTCACCTCTCCAGTTCCTCCTCTCTTCAGCAGAGCACACAGCTCCATTTTTCTCTCTTTCCTACCTCTCCTTTACGTTTTTGTTCTTAGTAGTGGTGTCTGGTGCTGCTACCACAGGGCCCATATATATATATATATATATATATATATATATATATATATATATATTCATGTAGTTGTTCAGAGTATTTTTTATAATGCATTTAAAATATTTTTGTAAAGTCAAGAGTGATGCTCGTTCTTTCAAAAAAAAACGTGTTTTTTTTTTTTGCTTGTTTGGTTGGGTTGTCGTTTGTAAACATGTGTGAAACAGAGTCTCACTATGTTGTCCTGGCTGATTTGAAACTCTCTATAAAGTCCAGGCTGGCCTTGAACTCACAGAGATCAGTCTGCCTCTGCCTCCTGGATGTTGGGACTAGAGTTGTCCTATTTGAGTTTAATCTGTTTCTCCTCTCCCTTCCTCCCTTTCCTCCCTCTCTCCCCTTCTTTCTCATGTTTGATCTTCCTGATAGAATCTGCTTTGGGCTATTCTGATGAGTTTTATTTTGGCTCCTAGTTTTCCAAAGTTAGAATTTCTGTTTGGCTATTTTTCATAATTCTTCTCTTTTTTGTTACTTCCAGGTTTCCAATATATCATGTTTCTATTTTTCCCTCTACTTTTTTAGAGTTTGTTCATCTGCTGAGTATGGACACAGTGACAAGTGCTTATAGACCCAGTAGCAAAAGGACAGAGGCAGGAGGATGGCTTGAATTTAGATATTAATCTCTTTAGTGATTCACTCTTGTATACCTTGCTTTTATGGTCGGGGGCGAGGTTGTTTTGAGCCTTCAATGCTCTTCTGTGTGGAGCTCCACTAACACCTTTCCAGCCTTATGCAGATGTTGCCTCCTGAGTGCAGCTTTCCTGAAGCCCCTGAATGTTCCAGCCCACTCCCCGCCCCTCCCCCAAGTATATAAAAAGGAGAGAGGAGTGGGCAAATAAGCTTCAACTTAGTGCCTCTGAATTTGAGCTCTTATTCTAGTCCTGCCTAATATGAGCATGGATGACCTTGATCAATAATCAGTAGTTGGATCTGTTTTCTGTTGTCAAGGAGAGGGAAAACCTTGCCTTTTTTAAGGTTTCTACTCCTGTAACTATTTTTACTTCTACTGAAAACTATGCTAGAATTTTTAAGGGCCTGGGTGTTACAATAAGACGACAGGAGTTGAGACTTTCTCTTAGGGAGGATAACAGAGCCTTCAGCATTAAGCTATCCTGGGATACCTCAATGGAACAATAAAAATTAGACTTTTAGCATAGTGTGCAACATTAGCACTTTGCATACCTGGTTGTTGGGATTTGATTACTGTTGTCAGCTAATCAAGCCACATAATATTGTATGTCCAGGGGAATGATGAACTCCTAGAAACTTTCCTTATATTCCCATGGAATGATGTCTAGCACATTTTAAAATGTTTCCAAGAAAAACTAGTGTGTCTTCTCCAAGTCAGCCCATGGTATTGTTGATCACTATCCTCCTTGCAACTCTTTCTTCTATTAAATTCAAACCTTTCTCCTCATCTTTCCTCCTTGCTGTCTGTAATAAGGCTATCATCACATCTGCCTATCAAGCCCTCTACTTTCTGCCGGCCTCTGTCATAACCACTTCCTTCTAACTGTGCTTGGAGAGACTACTGATGATTCAGTCGCAAAGCAGCCTTCTTTGTCTTTGACTGCCTGGGTCTGAGGTGTCACTACTGCAATTAAAAAGTATCAGAAAAATCTGGGTTGGGGCTGGAGAGATGGCTCAGTGGTTAAGAGCACTGGCTTCTCTTCTGGAGGTCCCGAGTTCAATTCCCAGCAACCATATGGTGACTCACAACCATCTATGATGTGATAGAATGCCCTCTTCTAGCATGCAGGCATACATGAAGATGGAGCAGTCATATACATAAAACAAATACATCTAAGAAGGAAGGGAGGAAGGAAGATCTGGGTGCAATGAATAGATTCCTCTTCAAATGAGAGCCATCTTTGTACTTGGCTTCTTCCTCCTTTCTGGGTCAAGTGAATCCCTGCTCCCAGCCCCTGCTGAGAGTTGGCCACCAGTTAAATTCAAACACACATACACAAAAATAAGAGATTTAATTTATTGATTGCTTTTTTGGCAAAGGTTATATAGAATGTTAGGGTGAAATAAAATTCTAGTTACAGATTCATAAAACTTGAGCCAAATTAACTTTTATGAGACCATTAAACCCCACCTCACCCTCATCCATAGCATACTAGTTTGATCATAGCCTATATAATCCTTCGTCTTTTAAAATGATTAATGCAGATTAAATACACAGTTTAGATGGTATTAAATATCTTGAGGAATGACAATAGAATTTCTTTCACTCTTTCAGCTCAGAATTCTTTTTTAGAAATGTTCTGTTCATATGTATTTGTGGACTAGCCATCATTATCTGCTATTTGCTTGAATATGCACATTGTAAGTCTCTCAAAATAACATTTAAAGTCTTTCCTAACATGTTTCAGAAGTGTCAATCTTCAAGGAATATCCAATTTTAGAAAATAAAAGTTCATCCTTAACTCAATAATGTCTCTTCATATGTGACAATACTATGTTTCTCTCTGACCTGTCAAAAGTCCCTAACAACATACAATGGCCAGTTTCTTCTTTGCCCAACTCAGAGGCCGTCATATAAAATAGAGAAAGAAAGCATGTTTGAAATCACAGTAACCAAAAGACTTGAATTCATAATTACATTAAATAACCATAACTTTTTGCTTATTCACATTCCACACGGTGGAAATTATCCTTTTTCCTCCAAATTTTCACTTATAACGTTGAGCTGTGAAGAGTACAGTTGCAAGGAATCCAGCCCCCAGGCTTACAAGATATGTGGTTTTTCTCTTTCAATGCCAAGCACAAAGAGAACGGCATTCAATTCATATTTGGCATCTGGAAATATTCTGATAGGCAAAATCAAGATCACAACTATCTTACCATAAAACATTTCTACTAAAATGGTGGAGAAAATGCACATCATTACATCACTGATGAGTCTAAAACAAGCCACAGACAGGGCATCTTTGATCAATGATGGAGGACATGGAGGAGGTGATGGTCTTGCAAGGAAGGCTGGCATTTCCCTCTTTGGTCAGTGATGTGCTTTAAGGCTACTTCTGTTGCTGACTGCTCCCATGAAGTTAATTTTGAAGCAATCCTGTTTATGTTAAACCAAATCCAACTTACATGAGAGACTGTGGTACAAGCTCCTGGAAGGTGACTATGGCTTCCAACCTATTATTTATAGCAACACTGCGTGTTTGTGGCAGAATTAAGACACTCAGTGTTTCTTAGCACTGAGTATCATATTTTGTCTCTGGTTTTAAATTTTCAGTTTCTTCCTCTTTTATTTTTCACTCTTCACTACCCTCAAAACTTTGCCTTTGCATTTGGGGGCCTAATCAAACCCATCCTGTGGTGGTGGATTCAGGGAAGGAGCATACAGTACAAAAGAAACACATAGACTACACTCGCACAAATCCATCTACTCTGGAGTCATCAGTAGTGACTTTTAAACTTTCAAAGTTAGACCCAATGTTTGGGAATTCAAGATAGTTTTTATCTTAGAGCATGGATTCCATTTAGATGTCACATAGGACAGTGCTAGACCAAAATAAAATATTTCTTTACATCCAATGGTTCTGTGACTGTGGCAGCTTTAATGGGCAGTGAATGTCTCCCTTCCAAATGACACATAACTTGACTAGTCACTCTGAGAGGAAAAGACAAAAAAGGTATTTATAGCTAGAGTCTCAATCTTAAGGAGTATTGTTTAGCCAAGCCAAAATATATCAAGGCTACCTTTCATTTTGTCCTATACATAAATGCTAAGTAGGCATTTGGGGAGCCCCGATGTATTCAGAGGACATCCATAGTAGGCATAACTCTTACAATGCTGAATTGACCCAAGGGGAATAGATGGCCTGTTGTTATACCTAGTGTTCTGCTTTCCTAATGGAACTTTCTTATTACCTTCTAAGAGCAAATTAAAACAAGGCAGTCTGAGCCCTATCTCTCCTCCAGACATTGCCTAGCCAGATGCAATCCCTTTGAGTCCACCCTCTCTCTGGTTCTCTCATAACAAGAGCCAAAACAGAAAAGCCCCCATTCGTGTCTAGCTCAAATGGAGCAGGTAGCTCTCTCATCTTGGGCAATTCCTCATTGGCAGATGTGCTCACAAGGTTGTACATCTCAGAAGCGTTTTGCAGGAATAACAAAAAGCAATGTTAATCCAACAAAACTAAGCTAAGGAGGTTTTTATTTTGTCTTTTCCTATCCCAGTGTACAAGACTCTCAGTTGTCCACCTGAGAGGCAAAGCAAAGTAGAAGGCCATGTTTCTTTCTGTTTAACTCTCTTAACTTCTAAAACAGGAGTGGTCATTATTTCACTTTTAACTTTGGGTTACAGTTCATGTCAGGAGGTTACCGAGGCCGACACAGAAAATTGGTGTGTGTGTGTGTGTGTGTGTGTGTGTGTGTGTGTGTGTGTGTGTGTGTATGGTTACATTTCACCTCTGTGCATCTGAGTTCTTTTAAATACCAGGAAAATACTTTCACTGAAACAAGGCTCACACTGTTTTGGAGAACAACTTTCAAACTCTGGCCATCTTAATATTGAATTTCACTGTCCCAGACTGGTCTTCATCCTCAACATTCCTGTGTCAATCCTCCATCCCGTTTGTCCTCCGTCACACATCTCCCCGCGTTCTGGAGGTTCTTCACAAGATGGAAGACATTTACACCCACGGTCAAATGAATTACTTTAGGGACATGAGCTAAGACTGAGATGTCAGGGAGAGCAAAGACGGAATGGGTTGTGGGAGCAAAGGGCAAGCGCTGAAAGTTCCAAGTCTGCTGCAGCCCTCGGAGTTACCTCTTCCATTAGTATTCATTCTCAATGAAGTCCTTGTGCCCAGGAGGGCGCATGGGACACAAAGGCAAAGCCAACTACAGCCCTACCCCTGTGGGAGTTTGGGTCCAGTGGTATGGGAGTTTCCGACCATCTGAAGCAGAGTAACAGGAAGTGCGTTCTAGCAGAGGCTGCTTCTGCTTCTGCTGGTGTTTGGAAGCATACACAACACCCATGCACACTCATGCGCATACACTATGCATAAGCAGCCTCCAGCCGGGAAGCAACTTGCTGGTTCTTCTGACCTCTAGGTTTAAGCCAAGTAGGAATCAGGTGGTTTAGGTATGGCTCTCCGCACGACTATGACAGGCTGAATGTGCCCGCTTTGGCTTAATCCAAATCAATGGATATGCACCGACACTGCTTCACGCGTGTGACCCGTTTCTTCTTGGTGGGTGGCTGTAGTTCAGGACAGTTGAGCGTGACCATCATGGTGGTGAACTTCTTGGGCTTGCAGAAGGAGCAAGACTGAAAGGAGCCTTCCTCCTTCCTGATGTGTCTGGGGATGTAGAAGGAATTGCACTGGCCATAGCAGAAGCGGTTGATGATAGTGCGGCTGTTGCAGCCCTCCTCGTGGATGGTCTGCTTCAGGGGCTGAGTTTTGCACCAATCTCGCTTCAGGTACTTGCGCTCTGTCACGTGCAGGGCCTCTTGGCTGGACTCCAGCACTTCCTCTCCTGGCATGGCGGTGCCCCGGCCCTGGCCCCGCCCCCGGGTCCTGGAGCCAGGCTGTGGTGGGGACTGGGTCTGCTCAGAGTCATTATGCTGAGCCTTGTCTGGAGGCGGGATGGCTCCTTGAGACCCTTTCTTTTTCCCTTCAGCTGCCGGTAGTAGGGTCCCCAAGAGGAGAAGCAAAGCTCCCACAGTGTAGGCAGTGCGGTTCATTCTAGACAAGGGATGCAGAGAAGGGGGAGACACAGACAATGAGAATGATACTTAAGAAAAATTAATAATTTCACCTTATATTCTACTCACTACACACTTCAGTTGTACTGACTTTTACAGTATCACTAGCTATTGGATACTATTATTCCCATTACTCTCTCCTCCATCAAACTGAGTAATTTAATATAGGTCACACAGTGAATTGGCCAAGCTTTAAAGACAGCCAGGACCTGTCTCTTCATTGCACCAACTCCCGAGAGAATTCCTTACTGGCTTCTGACACAATTCCATGTGACCTTTTTTATGCTCACTTAACTGTATTTATTCTTGAATTTGACAACATGAGTTTCTCGCTGTTCCTGTTTTGGAGAGAGACTAGGAAGCCTGTGACAGAGCAACCTAAGAGGAAGGCTGGAGGCAAGAGGTCAGAGATGCCTAATATCATTCTTTATGACATGATATATACTCCCCCATGTGTGTGTGTGTGTGTGTGTGTGTGTGTGTCTGTGTGTGTGTGTCTGTGTGTGTGTCTGTGTCTGTGTGTGTGTGTCTGTGTCTGTGTGTCTGTGTCTGTGTGTGTGTGTGTCTGTGTGTGTGTGTCTGTGTGACCCTGAGGAGAACAGAAGGCAGAAGAGGCCCTCAGAATCAACTGAAGCTGGAGTCGTGAGCCACCCAGGGTGGGTGCTGGGAGCTGGACTCAGGTCATCTGGAAAACAGAGAATGCTCTTAACTACTGAGCCATCTCTCCAGGCTCCATTGTTCTACATTTTTAAGTGATGAAATATGTCAGTCACTCACCTATGTGCCTATATGTATGTATAGAAATATTTTGTCTGATTAGTTGGCCAGGTAGACCTTTATTTGATTTCATTTCCTTGTGAATTTTCATAAATATCTGTCACCATGCCTTCTTTATGTTTAGCTCTCCCACTGCTTTCCTATGTCCTTCCTCCCCCAATAGCCCTTCCTCTGTTTTCATGTCATGTGTATTTTGCATGTAGATAATTACATCTAAAATATATAATGATGAATGAATAAATAAAGGTAGAAAATGGGCACAATAGAGTAAGTGAATGGCTATTTACATTCGCAAGTATCAAAAGCACTGTTGACAGTGAATTGTGAGCAAGTCTGAGCCTCTGTAGGAGTCATATATGACAAGGGCATCATATCACATAACAATAAATAAGTGAAACACAACTTGGGGGCGTAGGGCTGGAAGACATACAGATGGTGAGACAGGAAAGTGAATGGAGTTAAGAAAGCAAATAAGAGAAAAGGGGACTCTTTCTTATGTAGACACGCATTCAGTCAGTCGGCCTTTCCACCCAGTTTAAGGCCTGTAACACTAGTTGGCATGGGGCACACCAGGAGTTATTAAAACAGTGAAGGATTTTCTTTTCAATGAGAACAGTTCCAAATTCATAGCCTCTCTTCCAGGAATGGCCATGCCCTAAAGTTTCCTCTGCCCCACGCCTGTGGTAAGCTCCACAAGAACACAGCTGTAAAGTATCCATTTTCTCTCCACTGAATATCAGTGTTGCATGTGACAACCACTAAGTGCGCATTAATATAACCTCATTTAATATAACCTCAGTCTCCAAGAAACCAGAAAAGTTGGTATCATTATCTAGACCAATTATCTTTCAGAGACAAAAGCAGTGTAAGATGTATCTTCTTTGAGGGACAACTTCTGGCAAGTGAGGACCATTCAAACCCTAAGGCTATTGTCAAACCAAGATAATTGAATGTTGCATTAAAAATGTTCTTAAATGTCATCATTTTTCCAACATTAACTTAATACTTTGGAGCAGGTTCAAGTTTGGAGCTGATAATGTGACATTTAACTCCTGTTCCAACTGTAGCTTCCCTGGCTTTTGTCAGCTTATGTCACAACATCTCTGTTCTTTAAACAGAGCCATGTTGACCACCACAACAAAAAAATTAATTGCTTTGTTTTGTCTTATAAAACATCGCTTATGAAAATAGCCCAGTTATAAAATAGTACAGATTTTCTCCAGAGGCCAGGATAACTTGATCCATGACCACTCTGTCTCCAAGGAACTATAATGTAAATCTGAGACATTTTCACAAGTTTCTGATGTCTCTCACTTGAGGGCCAGAATCTAAAATAAAAGGCCAAGAACTAAAATAAAACACATTTACCGATAATTGTAGGGAAATATTACATAGATGGCCCTAGACCTAGGCTGACAATCTTCTTCCACATCTACTAAAAATAACCTACAAGCCTATTCACTCCTTTCAATGTCCGCAACCACAGAGGCCAACCCAAAGATGACTGTGGATGTATGTTGAGTACATGTGACAATTAACGTCATAGGACCATACTGTTTTACAAATGTCCATTAACAAAACTGCAATTTATTATTCCAGACCAACCCAGGACTCAGGCTTATAGACTGAACCATTTTTTCCTGGCATATTTACATCTGTTATCGAACAGATATCTATTCTGAGAGTTGATGTGGGCTAATTTGTCATTTGACCCTCTGTGCCTGACACAGAGTAGGTGCTCATGAATATTTGTTAAGTGATTGGTTATGATACCACATAAATTTGACACAGTTTTTGTTCTTTGTGTTCAAAAATACCATCAGTGGTGTCAAAGTGTCAGCTAACTGCAGGGTCTTTGGTTCCTGACACTCAGTACAGGCCTTGACAGCTTCCTGATACACTTGTCTTTCTTTTTCTAGAAAAACTCCAAGTGGTCTCAAGTCCTTATTTGCTCCTGTGCAGGATACTTTGGATTTCATTTTAACCTAGTGATAAAGCAGTGTATTCACAATTAGTTGACTATTGTTTGGAGTTTAATTTTGGAAAACTCTCCATTCCTATACATGTGTGTGTACCCCATAAGCCAAAAGAGTCTACAGCAGGCTTGCTTTTCAACTAAATAAAAAAAAAAGAAAAATTCAAACTAAGAGTTACTAGATGTAGAAAGTGTATTTTTTTATTTTAAAATGCCTATTCTTTTTAAATATTTAATGTTTATTGTTAGGCTTTCACATTCTTAAACTTTACAGTGTTTCGGATAAAAGTTAAAAAACAAAGACAAACAAGGAAAAACCCTCCAAGAAAATGAATTAACAGAGGCCACAGCAGCACTCTGGCTCCAGCAGAGTGTCCAGTGTGTTTTTGATGGTCAACCTGAAGAAAGGTACAGGAAGAAGCAGCGCCGGCAAGGCTGAAGCCAGGCTCTGCCAATCAGTGTCCATTTATCCAAGCCCCCTACCAACTAGTCTTGATTGTTCAGTCAATGAATTTTGGGTTTTTCCTCTTGAAATTGCACCTATGTTTCCACCAAATGTTTAGCATTTTCTTTGTATCACTGGTATGCAGGAAATGAAGAAGATGGGATTTCCTGGAGGACATCTCTTTCCATGACAACCTCTAGCAGTGTGCTGAAACAAAGTCGATCCAAATGCTGGTCTAGATTTAGGTCCCCATGACTTGCCACCCACATCCAATCATTAACTCCATAGTAATTTCATTCATAAAATAACTTTTCACATTATTGCACTCAGCTGCTTCCCATGAACTCAGAGTGTATCATGACACCCAGAAAGCATCTCCCTTTGGTTCTCCTTTATAGACAGTACCATTCCTCATTCCAAACTCCACCTTAACATCCTGCTAAAGCATTTCTTTTTCCCCCATTTTATGGCTGCCATCTATTGCAGAAAAAAATTAACAATACACATAGAACTAAAGGAAATAATACAAAAATTCTTATGTACATATAATACAGTGTGAACATTAAACAACTTTTTTCTATATTTCTTTCTTGTAGATCCTTACATACTTCCCAAAATTTATCCTAATTATCTGGAGACAAATTTCATGCATCACATTTCATCTGTAAGCACTTCTAAATGCATGTTCAAAACATCGAGGAATGTTTGTTTAGCATGAAAGAAAAATAGATTACTATCTTAAAAATTGCCAGCTTTTTCTCTAGTATTGAGGGTTCTAGTTTTAATGATTACCTCATAAATATTAATATATATGTACATTCATCACATATACTATATATTCACATATATCTATACCACTCCTATTTCACAAGACTTATTTATTTTTTATTTAAATTAGAAACAAGCTTGCTTCTCATGTCAATCCCAGGTCCCTCTCCCTCCCCTCCTCTCCTGACCCCCACCAGTGCCCCCAACCCCCCACCCACTCTCTAGAGTGGGTGAAGCCCTTCATGGAGGATCTCCAAAGTCTGTCATACCATCCCGGGCAGGGCCTAGGCCCTCCCCCATGTGTCCAGGCTGAGAGAGAATCCCTCCATGTGAAATGGGCTCCCGAAGTCCATTTGGATGCCAAGGTTAAAAACTGGTCTAAAATGCTGAGGCCTCCTCGCTGACACCCATGTTCTCGGGGTCTGAATCAGTTCCATGCTGGCCTCTCAGCCATCAGTCTGGGGTCCATGAGCTCCCGCTTGTTCAGGTCAGCTGTTTCAATGTCCATTCATACAACAAGGACATCTGTTCCACTATGTTCATAGCAGCATTATTTGTAATACCCAGAACCTGGAAGCAACATAGAACCTAGATGCCCCTCAACTGAAGAGTGGATAGAGAAAATGTGGTACATTTACACAATGGAGTACTATTCAATGGAAAGAATGGAATCTTGAAAATTTGCAGGTGAATGGATGGCACTAGAAGAAACCATTCTGAGTGAGGTAACGCAGTCACAAAAAGACAAACATGGTATGTACTCACTCATATATGGATACTCATATATGGATTTTAGGCATGAAGCAGGGGAGTGCCAACCTCAATCCCACCATCAGAGAGTCTGGGAAACAGGGAGTACCCTAAAAGAGATATGCATGGTACCCCAGAGAAGGGGAGACAGGGAAGGAGCTGGGGAAAATTGAAGGGTAGAAGAGGACATGGGGGATCAGAAAGTGTGAGTTTGGGGAAGAATAGAGGAGAGCAGGATAAGAGATACCATAATAGAGGGAGTCATTGTAGGTTTGAGGAGAGATCTGACACTAGTGAGATTTCCAGAGATCTACAAGGATGACACCAACTGGCATTCTAAGAAATAGTGGAGAGACTACCTTAGATGCCCTTCCCCAAAAATAAGATTGACGACTACCTTGTATACCATCCTAGAGCCTTCATCCAGTGACTGATGGAAGCAGGGGCAGATACCCACAGCTAAACAGTGAACTGAACTCCTGAAAACCAGTTGCAGAGAGGGAGGAGTGATGAGAAAAGGGGTCAAGACCAGGCAGGTGTCAGTGCATTTCTGCTGTTTAGATGTGCTAGTACTTCGAGGTCAGCTCTCTCTGCAACCCTTCTCTGCCAGCAAGCTTCACTACCCCCTCGTCTCTTTTTCTTTTGCCACTGCTGTCCTCCAACCACTTATCCCAAAGACAAACCCTTAAAACAAGTCCTCACTGCTGTCCTCCAACCACTTATCCCAAAGACAAACCCTTAAAACAGGTCCTCACTGCCCTCCACTTGCTCCCAATTCCCTAGTTGTTCAAGAATAAACACCTACAAGCAAGATATACCATAGCAATCACCTCTGCCCTAATAATTTATTGAAATTTCCACAAAAGCACTGAGAATAGTCTTCAGTGTATGGAGAGTTGGAAATCCAAATGGTATGTGTGACTTGTTTCCAGTGTTCTTGGTGTATTTAGGGATTCTGGAGCCAAATTCCTTTCATTACACTTCTCATTGTGTTTCTCCCATTAACCAAGAAACCTACTAGGTGAGTTAAATAAAGTTTTCTGGTAAGAATTACAGTGAACTCCCGATGTCTGTATGTGAACTCATCCATTGTTGCTGTTGAATAACAGGCAACAAGAATGACCTCAGTTCATTCTCCCTGAACAAAACACAATGGAATTGACTGCAAATGCTTTATGGGCTGGCCAGATTTTAAAAGAATCACTTTCTTTTTCCCTTGAGGCTTAATCTTTAGGAAGAGTGAAAGTTAATTTTGGTTAGATCTTTAGTTTTAAATTTTAGAATCAGCCTTTAGAAATTAACTAGAGAATTCATTAATAAGAATAAAGGTTTATTTATTTCTCAGACAAGTTACATCAAGGAGATAAGAAAAATTAACGATTGGCACACATCATAAATTTTATTCCCTGTGTTGCAATCTCTTAACTATAACCCACCTATTCAGGTTAAGTCAGGCTGGAACCCAACACTACACAGGGTGGGGAGGAGACACCTGGTGGTTAAATAGCTTCCATAGTTCCCTGGAACATGTATTTTTTGGTAAAGTTAATAATTTTATACAATATTTGTATCACTAGGAAATGATTAGAAAACGTAAGTATCAAACAGCACTATTAAGTGATGGCCAAGTTATATATTGCATTTTGTAACAGAAGCTATGTAAGTATAAAGTGGGATTTGGGCTTAAATTCAAAATCACCCTCTGGTCTCTCCTACCCAACACAACCACTGATAATAAGAGGTACCTCTTATTTTTGAGACCTTACGATGTCAAGCATTATGCTAAATACTGTCCATGTTATGTCATGATAAAATATGAGGTATATAATGTCTTCCTGTTATTAACCAGGAATCCATCCAAGGTCACATAGTTTGTAAAGTGGATAGCCAGGATGTGAGTCCAGTTCTGTCTAACCCCAAACATGTCCTTAGTCACTTTGCCAATGGTATCCAGCACAGTACATTTAACAAGGAACATGTGGATTTGCTTTCTAATGCAATAAATTTTGAAGAATATTGTAACTCTAATAATTATCTATTTTGTATCTTCATGTTTGCATGCAAAGGAAAAGACTTCTCTTGTCACAGGAATTCCTGTTGTACTTTGCATTTCTAAGAACATATGTTAAAACTAAAGAAAATTCTTTGCAGATGTAAGACATGGGCTGGTAGCACTTGCCCGGTCAGTGCCTTTCAGTTAAATCTGCAGTTGCTGCTCCTAACTGCCTCCCTCCCCTTCCCTATACATAAAAGGCTTGAGTTTTCCTGTGTGTCTTTGGCTTTGCATTCTGGAACACACTCCAAAACTTTGCTGCCACCAAGCACTTCCTGAGGAGAAGTCTAGGGCATGGGGTTTCTTTGTATTCTATCACTTTGAATACTGTACCATTAAGACTGAGGTCACTAAGAGCTTCAGTTTAGAAGGGCAGGAGGTGGACATTGAGAGATGTGAGGACTTAATATGTTTCTGTTCTTCCTCAAGTAAGCACTGGAGAGAAAGCCACATAACCAACCTGGATTTCCTATAGATTGTAGGTTACCAAAACATTTCACTCAAAATGAACTTTAAAGAAGATGGGAAAGCTGTGAGATTACAAAGTTTACAAAAGACTCTAATTCCTACAGTGACCTGGGGGTTAAACACACACACACACACACACACACACACACACACACACACACCTTAAATAATTAGTAACTTCTAACAAATGCGGCTGTGCACTGTAGCCAACGAAAGTAATGGAATAATGGAAGCACCTTCATCTGTAGACTTGGTTGAGGAGGTGGTGAGGGAGGATTTTGTTTTCTTAAGATCTTTTTCTCTCTTAGCTTTGAAAAGTCTGTACTCCCAAGTCCCCTGTGCCGCCTGTCTCGTCCCAAAAAGAAAAAAGGGGGGTGAGGAGGGCAGCCCTGGGGTGAAAGAAGACTCCTCACCCTAGGATGGGGTTATCTTAACCTCTTCTACGCTATTTATTTAACTTGTAAGAGCAGTCAGAAGGAAACCACCACTCTAGAGTCGCAGGGACAGCTTAAAGCCCTGGTGACCCATTGAACACAATAGATTGTTTTAATCAGTTCGTATCCTGGCACCATCTCAGGGGAACATAAACAGACGTGCGTACCACTTGGGTTTGCTCTTTCCACCAAGAGATCCAATTACCTACTGATGGTCGTCTTTCTGCCCTCCAACAGTTAAGAGGGGATTTTAACCCCTCACTTCTAGGCTATATTTCTCCATCAAAGTGTAGAGATTTGGATTCGGCTGAAGAGGGGGAAAAGGCTGCTGAGCTAGACCAGCGAGCCAGCCTAGGCTCTCAGAAGATGCTCCTAGCAAAGACTAATCATCCTGCATCCTCGCTGGTGGATTGTTGCCTGAGCAGGGGATAGGAACACTAAGCCAAAGCGAGCCAGAGGGGAAACAGCCTATCCAGAGCTGTACAGAGTTTGCTCTTCCCAAACTAGAATCCTGCAAATAACTGGGACCAAGAAGAGGACAGCCACATCGACTTCTTCACCCTAGCCTTCCACCAAGAGCTAGAGAGGGCTCACTGGAATGGGCTAGGCACCCAGCAAGGAGCAGATAGGATTTTAGAGTGGAGTTGCTAGCGATGTGCAGCGAAGCGAGACGAGTGCCTGTTGGGTACAGATCGGCCGGCATCCGCGGAAGTGGGAGCCAGTCGGTGGTGGCTGCCCGGCGCCTGCACGTCTGCAGTAAGACGGATGAGAGCGTGGAACCCAAGAGGCTCAAAACAGTCAGCCACGCGCAGGCCAGCGCACAACTAGCACAAGAGTGTGTGGCGCGTGCCGCGGGATCACCTCGGTCACCAAAGCACTCTAGCTTCGAGGTACCGGAACCCCGACTCTTTGTGGTTGTTGAGCCGGACGGATTCTGTCTTACCAATCTCCATCACATCTGCCATCCCAGCAAACCCACTTGCCACTAATTCTCAAGACCCGAGCAGTTACCACTCACCACCCTGGGACCGCCGCTCCTACAGACGCCCCAGTCCAAGCCCTGTGCCCAACCCTCGAGACGGTCTCTGGTTACCACTTGCGGCAAGATCGGATTCTGCTCACATATACCCGTTTCCCGAGCTCCGACCGGGGCAACTTCGTGAGTTGTCCTGGCAGACGACTCCCGCGGGCTCTGTGCTTCAAGAACTAGGATGGTGTTTGCTGGGCTTAGGCAAGTGGAAACGGGATGCACGCTCTTGACATCTTGACATCTCCTCTCCCTACCTTTCCCGCAGACCCAACGCAGAGAAGTCACCGCGCGCATCTACCTCCATCTACCTCCGTGGCAGGAAGTACCAGGTGCACCCCAGGGAACCCAAGGACCTTGGTGCACCGAGGTGCTCAGCCTCAACTGAGAGGGACTTGGGGTGGTATGGACCCTGGAGTTTCCTTAACTACATAGAGTGTGTGTGCGCGCGCGCGCACGCACACACACACACACACACACACACACATACACACACACACGAGCCACCGCGCTCACCTGTCAGTTCAGTGCGGTGGGTCTTCGAGTCCTTCGCTGTAGACCGTGGCCCTACGTGCGACCGCGGCCCGAGCCTCTCCGGCTCGACGCGGGAGGAACGACGGAGAGTGACGCTACCGCGGTGCACTGGGTCTCCAGGTCCGCGAAGGGCGCACCGAGTGTCGGGCATCTCCGGGTCTCTGGTTTAAATGCCGCCGGCTAAGCGCGGCGCCCGGGGCGGCGTCTCTCCATTGGTCAGGCGCCGTTGCCGCCGCGGGACCCGCTATCCGCCCCCTTTCCCGGTACTGCCTCCGCCCACTGCACCCCTCCTGCTTCCCTGCGGGGTCCCCTCTCCGCCCGCCTCGCCTCTTTGTCTACTCCCTCCGCCCGCCTGGGTGGGAGAGGTCACCCCAGGGAACCGCGCCTGGAATGCACAGCAAATCACATTTTCCGCTCCCGTTGGAGAGGGGAGCTCGGGAGGAAATCCCCCCCACCCGGGATCCCAGCTCCTCATCCTCTCTAGCCCTAGGTCTGGGCTGTTCCTCTAGCCAGCTGAGCTTCGCCTGAGTGGAGCCACACGCTCAGGAGCCCGAGCTGCGCTAGGCAGAGCAACAACCTACGGATCGCGACAAACTAGGTGGTTCCTCACCATTGGGGAAAGCGGCGCTGCTGGACGCTCTGGTCAAGCAGAGGTAGAGCCTTGGCGGCTCTGCCCGAGGCCCCCAACTCGGAGGGCGCTGACCCTTGCATTGGTGTTAACCCAGGCCGGCTCGCCAGCAGCCAGCAGGAGCCTGTAGTCAACAGGACACCCTCTTCTTACCCTCCACCGGCTCCTTCAGCTCAGATGCCCTTCTGCTTCAGTGTATAGCAGGAAGGATAAAACTAAAAGGACCCTCGGCAGTCAGTCAAAGTTACAATTTGGAAAAGGCCTTAAAGAGGGAAAGAGCAATCGCTAAGCGAGAAGGGTTTTCTGTAGCACATCGGAGATGAGTAAATCAGGGGAAAATAATGTTAAGCAAAGAAATAATTCCCTAACAGTTTCAGGCAAAAACCTACTTAAGGGAAAAACCTGCTGGCACATCTGTAGTCATAACTAGCAACCTAATGGATAGAGAAAAACACAGAAATGATGTAAATATTTTTCCACTGATGAGTGAGCATGTTCATTTCTTCTCTTAGCCTGAAAATCGGCTCTGCAAAGAGCCATCGGGTTTGCGTGTTTAAAAATACAGTCCGTGCAAAATCGGTCTGCTAATGAAGACCTTAGTCAGGCCAAGAGAAGACTTTGAAAGATATGTCAAGAAGGAAATTTGGAGATGCCTGTGATACTTACAGCAAAAAGAACCAAAATACTTATGAAAATTTGTGATATAAGCACTTGACTAGGAAAATAAAACGAAGCCACAAACTGGCATACATACATACATGTATATTCATACATTCTTTTTTACCAAGTTTTAGGGGAAGAATCAAGAAACACACTGAACACCTAACAGGTACTATTAGGAATTCAATGAGAGTTTTTTGTTTGCTTGCTTGCTTGTTCGTTTGTTTTTAGATCGATAAAGCAAGAAGGAAGCCTCTGTCACTGCCTCAAGAATTAGGGTGTACTCAATGCTGTTTGTGCAAACAGCAGGTTCTGTGCATGAACTCTGAAGTGCACTCTACCCCACCTCATAAACTGTCCCATAGTTCATAGCTATCTACAGAACAGGAACATCCGGTGAGCTTCAAGATCTATCCTGGTCAAATGGGCTTAAGGAGAGTTAGAAACCCGGAATGTTCTTATGCAATGAATGCAGTCCTCAGGAGCCCACAAACAGGGTGCATGGAGCTAGTGTGCTAGTGTGAGAACAATTTCCCCCAGAGTAAGGGGGTGGGGTTATTTTACAAGCTCATTAACTCCCTCTCGTCTAAAATCAAAGCTTTAATTGCCCCCCCCACTCACATGAACTGTTCCAAATAAAAATGCAAAAAGGTGAAATTACCCTCCTTCAACAAAGTGGTATTTTTTGGGTCTGATGCTAGGGTTTTCTCCACACCCCGCTTCATCTCCCAGTCGTTACATCATTTTTCTTCATCGTCATCTATCACTCCCTGTCACCCAAGTATTTTCTAGAATGTAAACTTCATGAAAGCAGGGGCTTTTCTATTTTGGTTGCTTTGATTACTGACACAAAATATGATGTCTAACACATAGCTGGGATTTGATAAATTCTTGTGGGCTGAGAAAGTTAGGCATATTTCCACTAAGTAGAACTGTCAGCTGAGCCAAGTGCTGAGAACATGACCACTGTGAATGTAGCAGCAGCGGCCCCTTCAGTTTAGAGTCTAGGGTGTTCGTGGATATCTATTTAGATATGCAAGTTTTTTTACTTTGTATCTGCATTTCCATAGCTCACAGCCAGTTGATCTCAACCATTATGTAATCTGGATGAAAGTAACGGAGCAGATTCTTTAGAACTTTTTAAGCCTAATTACACAATTAAAACCAGCTTTTAATAAGGAGGAAATAAGTAGGACTACTCAATGGCATTAAGGCTAAAAATTGTTTGAGGAGAGGGTCTCAGAATACAGCCTGGGCAAGCCTTCTCCTACTTACCTCGAAAGTACTGGGATTACAGGTCTGAGTCACCATGCCCAGGTCCAAGTGAAACTATCAAATCTGAAGTGCTCTATCAAGGATAACTAAATGATAGATTCTTCTTTATGAAGCCACTTTCAAATATTCCAAGGTACTGTGAGAGCAGTACATCCCAATTGGCTACTGGTTTGTAAAGTTCTCTTCTCTTGTTTACACATTTATTCATAGAATGTGTATCCAAGATGCTGACAAGAGTCGTTCTCTGAGTTTGGGAAGAACCTAGAGGCATTTGTAGAAAGGTTTTGCTTAGAACTCTCTCTCTCTCTCTCTCTCTCTCTCTCTCTCTCTGTGTGTGTGTGTGTGTGTGTGTGTGTGTTACAGTTAGCTTTTATCAGATGCGTAATAGCCATCAAATGCTAGGTTTTAGATTTGTGTTCTACTTTAATTTGTATAACCATCACATTGAGTTTTGTTTTATTTGTTCTAAGAAGATCCAAAAACAGGCATCCATATAGATTTATTATTGAGAACACAAAGATATATGAGGCAGGAGAATTCACAGCTGTTTCTGTACTATATATTGAGGATTGAGTCATATAACATTAGAACTGGTATTTAAACATCATGACTTCTGTAAAAAAATCAATGCTAGTGAATATGATACAAAGGATGTCATATTTGTGTGTGAAAATGTCCCAATCATTGACCAGGCATGACACTTCTTTCTGTAACCCTGGCACTCAAGAGGCTGAAGAGGAGAGACTGTCATGAGTTTGGGGTTTGATTGGCCAATGAGTTCCAAGTCAAGCTGGGCTACAGTGTCGAACCCTATCTCAAAACAAATGTCACAAGGTAACTACTGTTTTATGCACAATAGAAAGTTTTTTTGAATAAGGGAACTCCTAAATACAAGGTGATTTAAACAACTCAACAGCGAATATTGTCAGCAAACTGGGTCATGTAAAAATATGAACATCTATTTGAGTAGTATGAGTTTTGAGTACATAGAATTTACTTATGAAGAGTTCTGAACACAGTCATTGAAAATTTAGTTGTACTCTGTGTTCTTGGGGTTTTCTATAAAAATCCATGCCTTCCTTACCTCCTTTATGGCTACTGTGACTATCAGCATCTATTTTTAAAACTGAATTATTTTTTATTATTTGACAGTTTGATATATGTGTGGGGGGAATTTTGGTCATTTTTACCTTAATATCATGTTTTATTCCCCTATTCTCCACACCCTAAAACCTTTATTCTTCAGAAAAAAAATCCTTTCCTACTTTCATATCTTGTGTGTATGTAGTAACCCACTGAGTTTAAATAAGGAAGCCTAGCTGAGCATGGGTAGATTATATACTGGAGTATGGGCACTTGTTACATCACTAAAGCATGTGACTCCCTTCCCTTAGGGCTACCATAGGCTAATGTTGACTGGAAGAAAGGGAAGTCTCATGAGTCTTTATCCCTTCTATGATAAAATGTTGACAGGCTCAATCTTGTGCAGGTTTTATGCAAGTAGCCTTAGCAACAATGAGTTCGTGAATGCATTGGTTGTGTTATATCCAGATGACACTCCCAAATCTCTAGCTCTTAAAATGTTTCCACTGACCTCTTCTACAATGTCCCCTGAGTCTTGGTGGGAAGGAGTGATATAAATGTTCTATTTAAAACCAAGATCTCACTGGGCAGTGGTTGGCACACACCTTTAATCCAAGCACTCAGAGGTAGAAACAGGCAGAATTCAAAGCCAGCATGGTCTACTGAGTGAGTTCCAGGAAGCCTCCAAAGCTACAGAGAAACCCTGTCTCAAAAAACTAATAATAAATAAATAAATCCAAGAATTCCACCATTGTTTATTTTTGGCACTTGGCCAGTTATGAGTTTCTGTAGTAACTATAGTCCACTGGGAAAAGCTTGTCTCGTGAAGGTTGAAAGTTGAACTTTCTATGGGTATAAAGATAAATATTGAGAATGCAGTCAATACCATCTCCACTTAGCAAAATAATGATAGCAGGTTTCCATCTGGGGTCCATGACCTCCCCAGTCACAGGTTCTTGGGCAGGGCTATGGTATCAAGCATGGGTTCCTTCCTATGGAGATGCCTGAAATCTAATCAGGAAGTAGGTGGTTACCCCCATAACTGTCATGCCATTGTTGCACCAGTGGGCACACCTGGCTAGGCTGGTCACTGTTGTGGTTTGAAGATCATTGATGACCTTTTCTCCCAGCAGCCTGCATAGCACCTTCTGGCACTATGTAAGTTATCCGGCATTGAAGAAGCTCCCAGGTCAGGGCAAGCTTGATTTCTTCAAGTCCTTTGATCAAAGTATGTAGTACCTTTATTAAAATGGTTTCGCCATCAAGTACTGGTGGGTCACCAAGAGCAAAAAAAAAAAAAAGGTTTGTATTGTTTTGAGACCTCTAGGACCTTACTGACCAACAACTCATAGGGAAATAGCACACATTTGGTATTTGAGTTTTTATTAATCTAAGGTTTCTGGGAGGTGTGTTATCTTCCTGTCTAGAGTACCTCTAGTGAACCCCTTATCCCTTTTTGTTTCTTCCAGACAGGGTTCTCTGTGTAGCCTTAGCTATACTAGAACTGGCCTCACAGAGATCTGATTGCCTCTGCCTCCCGAGTGCTGGGGTTAAAGGTGTGTACTGCCACCACCTAGCAAACCCCCTTTTCAAAATTAACATTTTATTTATTCTTTAAGTTCTTCCTCTTCCTCCTTCTCCTCCTCTTCCTCCTTTCTTCCT